GACGCCTTTGCATGTGAGTTCAGACGCCCCCGACGCTGCAGTCTGTGAGCGCCTTGTTTTCCCAGTTGAGAAAGTGGCTTTAGTGTATTCATGACATAAACCATCAGCGAAGATGATCGGCAATTGCGGTTTATACGTACCATATTTTCCGGGCTATTAGGCGCTCTGGATTATAAGGTGCACTGTCATTAAATGGTCTACTTTCTAACTCTTTTCACAAATAAACCGCACCAGACTTTAAACGCAACACAACAGTTGGATGGCTCAGTCAGACTTTGTCTGACGCGTTCACGGTGACTCTGGGCTTTGTTCAGTTGTGGCGTGTAGGGAGGGTGCTGTCTGGGACCAACGGATTGTCGGCGTGTTCGCAGTGACTCAGTTGTTCAGTTGTGGCTCTAGAAGTGGCACATTGCACTCACTTTTTCGGTTTGTTCCTCCGTTCCGTTCCTCGTCGGCGTGGAGTGATGAGTGTGGCTGCAGGTGTTTTTCACTGTGCGGTCGCTGTCTGCTCCGTGTGTGTTTGCGTGTTCTGCGGGTGGTGCGGCTTTGTAGTTTATTGAAGTCGTGCTGGGACACCCGAGTGGATTCGTGTATAGGGCGCTCTGGATTGCGGGGCACACAATCGTTTTTTGATGGGGTTGAAGGCTTAAGAGCACGTCTAATAGCTTGGAAAATACGGTATAAATTTAAACTCCACTAATGACACGGTGTAGATTTGTTGTTATGGTGTTTGTGGCTCCCAGGTCTTTCTTTCTCTTCTCTGTCTTCCAAATAATAACATCGCTGATGCCTGAACGCTCAAAACGCACCACGTCGACGCCAGATTCTCATTGCGCTGACGCCTGAAAACACACTGCAAACACGCCCTGGACACGCGTCCACATCGACTCTGCATGTAAACTGGACGGTCTGAATGCAGCTTTAAACTCATAAAAGTCAATTTTGCGTAATATATGACATTTAATTGCCCTCTCCATGGGGTCTTCTTGTATGCCATTTCCACCTTTCAGATATATATTTGTTTTCATATAGAGACAGCACATTGAAAAGTCTTCTGCTTTCTAAGAAACACAATCCATTAGCTGCATTTAAACACACACCACAAACACACACACACACACACACACAGATGAATGACATGTTTGGGCCTTGGTGGAAGCGCTCTCTGTATAAAAACATTGATCTGATCCGTGGCAGTGAAGTATTGACAAAGGCATTTCACACTCGGGGCGTTTGTGATGAACACAGATTAAAAGTGTCAGCGCTCCCCTGAGGATCCACCGAGGGGCGCTGGAGCGAGGACAGCCAACCAACAACTCATCACAGGGAGGAAAATGTTTGGGTTCGGTGGTATTTCATTTACTGGTAACAATATTGTAAGACTGACATATTCTTAATGATTAAAAAAGCATGTTACTTGTAAAGAAAAAGAATGTCATAATTATAATTTGGTGTTTTGGTTCTCAAGACGATTACCCAATCAGAAAACAGAATAAGCCTCCCCTTTGCCAGTTTCAAAGGTTAAATCCGGTTGGTTTAAACCTAAAAGGACTGTCCTTTATCTGCAGGTTTAGGCACAACCCAGGTTCAACTGCAAAAACATTTAAGAGCGAGGGCTACATAAAGTTCCTTTAAGTAAGTTGAATTTACAAAAATCGTGGTGTTTTCCTGCAAATGATTAAAGAATACAAAAGCTTAAATGAGCTGAATTTGTTGTGTTAACAGAAAATAGACCAAAAGGCACTACGCACTGTACTGCCGATTTACATACATTTGCAATTTGCCATCTGCAGTGTTGGGAGTAACAGATTACATGTACCGGCGTTACGTAATCAGAGTACAAATTATGAGTAACTGTATTCGGTTACAGTTACTGTTTCCATGAGTGGTATTTGGATTACAGTTACTTTGTTGAAATAAATGGATTACACAGCGGTATTTTCCTGTTTTCACATTTTGGGCTAATGAGTAATTCCACTCATTGCCAGATACTAAACCAGGTCTAAACTAGAGCTAAACCAGATCTAAACCAGGACTAAGCCATGTCTAAAACAGGACTAAACCAGGACTAAACCAGATCTAAACCAGGTCTAAAACAGGACTAAACCAGGACTAAAACCAGATTTAAAACCAGGTCTAAAACAGGACTAAACCAGGACTAAACCAGATCTAAACCAGGTCTAAAACAGGACTAAACCAGGACTAAACCAGATCTAAACCAGGACTAAACCAGGACTAAAACCAGGACTAAACCAGATCTAAACCAGGATTAAACCAGATCTAAACCAGATCTAAACCAGGACTAAAACCAGGACTAAACCAGATCTAAACCAGATCTAAACCAGGACTAAACCAGATCTAAAACAGGACTAAACCAGGACTAAAAAAAAACAGGACTAAACAAGATCTAAACCAGGACTAAACCAGATCTAAACCAGGACTAAACCAGGACTAAACCAGGACTAAACCAGGACTAAACCAGGACTAAACCAGGTCTAAACCATGTCTAAACCAGGTCTAAACCAGGACTAAATCCTGCTGCGTGGACGTGTCTCCTCCTCTTCTATCAGTAATATTTTTAATACAGTTAAGTAAAGTCTGGGCTTTTTATTTTCTTTTAGCAAACAAAACTTCTTATATGAAGATATCCGAGTCTTTGCTTCTCTACAGCAAATCAAGTAATCCAAAGTATTCAGATTACGTTACTCACTTTAAGTAATTTAATGGATTATGTTACAAACTACATTCTGGGGTGTGTAATCTGTAATCTGTAGGGGAATACATTTTAAAAGTCACCTTCCCAACACTGGCATCTGCATCTAGGGACTGTTTAAAGAGCCCATGTTACACAATATTCTGTTATAATGTTGTTTCTTCATCAAATCATATCTGGAGTTGTGTTTTGTTTCATTCACACACGTTTAACACAAAAAACCTCTTCATATTTAGGCCAAGTTCTTTTCTCAAGCAGAAAACTGGTAGTAGGACGTGCTGCTCTATGTTTTCAAAAAGGTAAAAAGCTGTTCACTTAAAAGCAGCTACTTATTAGTCTGTCTGCATCCCTAAAGCTCAGACTGTGTTTTAGGGACGCAGACAGACTAATAATAAAGGTTTACTCAAACACAAATGAAGCAAAACACAACTCCAGGCATGTTTTTAATGAGGCAACAATGATGTAAGATGGTGGAAAGCTCACAAGAATCAATTTTGCAGAATATAGAAGCCCATATTACACCATTTCCTGATCTATTTTATAATGTTTCCTGGGACCAAGTCTTTGTTTTGCAAGTCTCAAGTAAGTCTCAAGTTTTTAATCTCAAGTCCGAGTCAAGTCCCAAGTCGAGTCTCGAGTCACTGGCCCATAAGTCCAAGTCAAGTCCAAGTCGTCATTTCAAGTCTTTAAACCAAAAAAGTACCAAATATAGCTTCGATTTTTGCAATTTATATGTTTTTTAGGACAAAATGTACTTAAAAAAAAATCATAGTATATTCATATATGAGTATTTATAAAGTATATAGAGTTGTAGAAATTGTGTTATTTTTTTCCTTTTTAAATGTCTTGACAAGATCTTAGAGTGAATCATTACAGTCAGAATAGTAAGAATTAAGATTTAAAAGTGCTTCTCAAGTCACAGGCCTCAAGTTCGAGTCAAGTCCAAAGTCATTGACCTTCAAGTCCAAACCGAGTCCCAAGTCTTAGTCCATTTTATGAAGTCAAGTCTCAAGTCCTAAAAATAGTGACTCAAGTCTGACTTGACTCCAAGTCACGACCTGCAAGTCTCATCCTCTGACAAACAGACCTGGAGTTTTGTTTTGTTTCATTCACACATGTTAAACACACAAACCCTGCAGATTTAGGTTGTGTTCTCCTCTCAAACAAAAAACTCTCTATGTCGTGTGGTAATACAGGATGTACATGTTTTACATAACCACACATAACGTTTTAACCATAAAAGACAGAGATTGCCAAAGATTGTAGTAAGTCAAGATGGTTGACACCTCTGAGCGTCTGTGCTCATAGCATTTGATAAAACAGGCCTAAGTACCGGTATTCCTCAAGTAAATTACAAATTACGCATCTCGGTGTACATAATTGCACATCCCTTACTATTTTATTTTTGAAAACTTTTTTTCACTTGCAAATGATACATAATACACCCAACAGGACGTAAACAGCCTAGTGCCGAGCAATGAATCGGGTGCACGCGTGTGCGCGCAGATGCCCGCTTGGCGTAGACCCGGCACACATTTGTGTGCCAGGGCATTTGTTGTTTTGTGCACAGAGGATAAAGACCTCCAGGAAGGCTACCAGAAGAAAGAAAGAAAGAACAGAAATGGCGCACAAAGCATCACTTTCCTTGCTGAAAGCAGTGGCGATGGTAACGGAGCCTGGCAGTGATGCAGAGTCCAATGTGGACATTTTTTATACAGATGAAGAGTTGGATTACCTGGAGGGTCTGGACCATATTGAAGAGTAAGTAGCAAATATTTCATAGCCATTTAGAGCAAACATCACAAAGGATGTATAGCACTTCATTAGGGGATAAAAGGGGGAGTTTTAATCGCAAAATTAAGAAAAAAAATCCAGACGAGGACAAATGTACCAAAAAATGTCCTTAGGTCTGGAAGGGTTAAACTCCATACACTTTCACTAAAATCATTTAGATAATTTCACTCCTGGAACTGCCAATCTCTGCTGAACAAAAGAGAAAAAGTAGCTGTTAACTCGAACTGCCACTTGATGACATTACAAGGTGGAAGAGAGCATTTTGAGCTTTGGGGATGCAAAAACACAACTCCAGGTCTGTTTGTGATGAAGAAACAACATTAAAACACAGATCAGAAAATAGCGTTGCATGAGCTCTTTAAGCTACATGAATGCCCAATTTCTTTTATAAATTTCCTCTCATGTAAAGATCTAAACCACAGACAGTTTGAGTTTTTCGCATTCATGGCGAACACGGATCACACAAGACGCACAGGACTGTCACATGTGGTACCTCTCCATCGCAGTGGCCGCCTCCTGCTCTCTTTTCCTCCTCTTTCTCTCAGCAATGCCCCGGAAAGCCCTGCCAGGACGTCACAGCGGTTATCAGGGGGTCAACACAAGAATTTGGACACAAACAGAAGTGTGTTTTGGGCTCGTTTTTTATAGTGCGTGAACTCAAACATGGAGAATTAAATCTGGTTGCTCAATTTAAGTCATGGCATGTCCATTTGGTGAATTTACTGTACACCTTTTACACAGTTTTCTTTAAAGTATGTAGGAGGTGGTGGTCAAAAATACAGTCGTGGAAGAAGCACTCAATTTTGTAACTGAAGTAAAAGTACAGCTACTATATATCAAAAAAGTAAAAGTATTTTGCACAGACTTTTTTAAATTTATTAATTTTGATAAAAATTTGAGCTGAATTTTCTTCAACAGAAACAACTAAATCAATAGTTTTTTCTAGCCATTTTTATTTGTATATTTTTGCTCAAATTATGAATAATAAATAATTGTAACTTTTCTGTCCTGTTGTAATGTAGTGGAGTAAAAGTAAAAAGTATCCACTTTAAAATGTGCTCAAGTAAAGAAAAGATATCTAGAATTTAGTCTTAGGTGCAGTACGTTATAGGGGTGTGCAAAAATATTAAAATATCAATATATCGTATTGTTTAATGTGATGATACAGTATCGATATCATGGGCTGCTGTATCGATATATCACCAAGAGTATTTTTTGGTATATTTTATCAAATTATGTTGCTACAGCTACAGTTTTGTTGCTTGTTCAAAGGAAACTAATTCATTTAGGCAAAACATTTGACATTTTCACTGTTTTGATGACTAAAATGTTTGTGTTTCATATGAACTTTGCACAAGAAGTGGTTTAACAAAGACTTTTAGTATCACATGCACGATTTTGCATTTATTATTTTATTGAACCGTATCGAATCAATTTGACATATACTGTATCGAATCGAAAGCTCATTGTATCGTGTTATGTATCGTATAATGGCTTATATATATCAAGATATGTATCGTATAATGGCTTATATATCGAGATATGTATCGTATAATGGCTTATATATCGAAATATGTATCGTATAATGGCTTCTGTATCGAGGTACGTATTGTATAATGGCTTCTGTATCGAGATATGTATCATATAATGGCTTCTGTATCGAGGTACGTATCGTATAATGGCTTCTGTATTGAGATATGTATCGTATAATGGCTTCTGTATCGAGGTACGTATCGTATAATGGCTTCTGTATCAAGATATGTATCGTATTGTGGCCTGTGTATGGAGGTATGTATTGTATCAGCAATTTTTTAAATGATACCCTGCCCTGGTACTTTACTACTTTTACTTTATGTCCCACCATTGCAAAAAATAGGACTAAGACACTACAAAGGCAAAACAGAGATCTTAAATTGAGAATTTTGTCAATTTTTTTTATTTATTTATTTTTTATATTTCAAGTGAAAATTTGATTCTAAACATGCAGCGTATAACTTATCTGGTGGAGGGTCACGCTGGTTTCCGTGGAGCTGGAGTATTTCTTTGCCTACAATGTTGCACTGTATATTACTAATCCTTATTAAAGTTGCTGGTCAGATCTGTGGAGAGGCAAGCCCACTCACAGTAAGCAGGCATGTTTTTCAATGAAATGAAGTGAAACGATTATTAGATAGAAAGGTTTAAGGTTTTATGTGGAATGTGATGTTCCATTCTGTGTACATGTATCGCCTAAACTGTTCCTTTTTTAAAAAAAATCTAAACGTTTTCAAACCAAGACGGGTCTTATTTTCATCATTTTAAGTGGTCAGACATTCAGATTTACTTCCCATTGATTCAATTGAGTTCAGACACATTGTTTTGATTGTAGTTCAGGTTAGTATCGACATACAGGGTTAGTCGGAGTTTAGTAAGCCGGAGTTGGGGTTAGGAGCGAGACAGGGTTAATCCACCAAGGCAGAAACATGAGGGTAACTACGGCAACCACATAAACTGTACACTATGCACACACACACACACGCACACTCACACTCACACAGAAGGGTTCAATACAGTAACACTGAACAGCACTTTTAACATTACAACAAGATAAAACACAATAACTGAGAAGGTAAAGGCACAAACTTTTTCACTTGTTCCACCACAACTTGCTAACAAAGTCTTCCACCGGGGACTATTTCTTTGGGCATAAAACACAACCTTTAGAAGCACAGAGCTATATACAAGCCATTGCCGTCCTTATAAAATGAAGACAACATTAAAATCCATAGAGCGCCCTATTGCACTGACATCCCTGGTGATGAAGTGCTGGGAAAAAGCCATTATAGCACCAACTTTTTACCTTATTATTGACCCAATGCAGTTTTCGTATTAGTCCTCCAGAGCAGTTGTAGATGCAGTCCCCAACATTGATAAAACTTCCAAAACCTCATCAGCTTAGACTAGAATTTTCACAGTTTAAAGTGCATAAGACTACACATGATTTTGGTTTTATGATTTACGGAAAAGGTAAAACCACAACTGTTACCACGCGAGCAACCATAATTTTGTTAAATGAAAGTTTTGGCTACGTTTATATGATGATGGTCTGAACAAAAGACGCAAAAGTGCTGTCACGTCTTCACTTTTTATTCCGTGTTTAGACGAGTGTTTTCAGGAGGAAATCTGCGTGCATACGGTGACGCAAAAGTGTGTGGAATTTGATTGGGTTTGCATGCCAGGTTTCTGCGTACTGTATGTATGTGACTTAAAACGCGTACGCGACGTGAGCAGATGTGATCAGAGTTTTGCATCTTGGGCAGTGTAGACGGAAACGCTACAACGGAGCGTATTCAACTTTTCCACTCTGGAGGGTGGTTTCAGATTTTTGTTTTTTTAAGCCCCAAAAATGCCGTCACCGTCTAAACAAAAGGCACTTCTGATAAAATATTTTGTTGTTTTTATCCGCAAGTGTTCTCATGTAAACAGGCCTTTAAACTATGTGCATAGTATTTCCTGTGTTGATGACATAGATGGAGGGTTTGTTTTTTTCCCCTTTTCTTTTTGCACACTTTGTACGATTACGATTTGAATCAATTTACATCAAAGTCAGAGCGGGGACTCCTCGTCTTTCAAGTGGCGGAAGTGCTTTGCATTTTCATTCTTATCATATTCTACTTCAATTCCATTTCACTAGAAAGGACCACACCATAACAACAGAATACAAGAACGATATTTATTGACGGTGGATCGATGCGATGGCTGGGGGGAGACTTAGGGTGGGGGGCTCCGTTTCCAATCCACAATGGTCACGCAGCTGATTCGGAACCCCCCTTCCTTAAAGATGGTGTCACGAGGACGGAGAGAGGGGTTTGAGAGTGCCGGGATTGTCAGTATAAAAATAGGGCTTCTGGGTAATTGAAGGTGTGGTTCAGATAATCTGTGGTTGGCTGGAGGAGGTTGAGGCGTGGTCCAGCTCCTGAACCTCAGTTACTCATATTAACTCCATCTGTATAGTTATCCAACTAACTGCAGAACAATAACAGCTTTGCAAGTAAGAAAGTCAGGAGTAAACATGTTTCATAATAATACTCGATTTCACAATTCGGCAACTTTCAAATTCTTGATTATTAAAAACTTGAATTCATCAAATGAATTAGATTAATTGTCCAACCCTAGTAAAGATATTCTGATTTAGTATCATATTGTATTTTCTTCTCAGTGATTTTCCCCATAAACTACCACATAACTTTCCTGGTGGAGGGTCGGTCAAATGCTTTTCTCCATGCAGATGTTATTTCTTTATCTGGAATGTTCCACAGTAAGACACCTTTCTATCTTCATGGAAAACAAACCAACCAAGTTACAGGTCAGATCTGTGGAGAGGCGACCCCGCTCACAGTCAGAATGTTTGTTTTTCTAAGGATTTTTATGCTATAAAACCACCTGTAATTGAATAAATGTAAAGCAGAGCTGTTTAATGTCACACTCAGTGTTGGGGAAGTTAGTTTAAAAAAGTAATGTTTGCTCATTATTTCTTTAAAAAGTAATCCCTTACTTTACTTAGTTACCCTCTATGGAAAGTAACTATTTTTATGTTACCTGTTACTTTGGAAACTTTTTCATGGTAAACTATATCTAAGGCTAAATCCTTAGAACTTAGAAGAATTTAAGTGGATGTTAAACCGTTAGGAGGTAAAAGGATGGGGTCTGCACTAGGGGTGTGCAAAAATATTGAAATATCGATATATCGTATCATTTAATGTAATGATACAGTATCGATATCGTGGGCTGCTGTATCGATATATCGTCTATTGAGTATTTTTTGTGTATTTTACTAAATGATTTTGTTACAGCGCTACAGTTTTGTTGTTTGTTTAGTGGAAGGAAACTCATTGACAGCAAAAAGGTTCGTTAAAATTAAAATTAAGAATATTTGACTTTATCTGAGTCGACTCTACCAATGGAATAAGTGTTTTTCTACATTCAAGCGACATTCAATTTCAATTTCTTATTTTAAGGGTTGTTGTTTTTCTTTTTTTAAGTGTAGCAAGTTGTATTTTCATATTTTAAGAACAAAAAATTGTATTCCGCTGATAGATAATTTAACTAGTCAAGGGGAATTTACTCAAATCATGATAAAACTTTCTTAATTCAAGTCATCTTAACTTGGCTAGATTAAATCTTTTGCAGTGCATGCGACACATTTGGCATTTTCACAGTTTTGAGGATTAAAATGTTTTTGTTTCATATTCACTTTGCACAAGAAGAAGTGGTTTAACAAAGACTTTTAGTATCACAGCCATGATTTAGCTTTTATTTTTATTGAACGGTATCAAATCAATTTGAAATATATCGTATCGAATCGTAAGTTCACTGTATCGAAATATGTATCGTATCGTGGCCTATGTATCGAGGTATGTATTGTCTCGGCATCTTCTTAATGATACCCAGCCCTCGTCCGCACAGTCTGCCTGAGGGATTCAACTCGGCGGGCAAGGGATGGGCGCTCGGTGCAGGAGGATGCCCTTGAGGGACCTCTCCCCGGGTGTCGCTGGCCCCCGCCAAGCGCACTTCCTCCGAGGC